ATTCAATGTCGGGTAATGTGGACCACTATAAAAATTGTTCGAAACATGGGCGCATTTAATATTCTATTCTATCCTCTGAAAACTCGATATGCGAAATTACAGGTGCTTCGGTTGGATAATGAAGCAAGGATCTTCAAAATACCGCAAATGGGGCGGTACCCTTAAACGGGGACTATTTCAAAACATAAACCCATATATTTTTGCATTCATTGTTACCCAAGAGTGCAATAAATTGAAATTTATCACAACCAATCCACAACCTACCTTTAACTTACTGATCCTCATTACCCACATACACTGGTCCACATTACTAGAATACCGGGTAAATACCCATTTGCGGGTATTTATTTGGGTATTTACTATATTGAATCGGTAATACAACATCTTACACCCTATTTCCGGGTTTCTGTTATCAAATCGATTTAGAATGGATAGTTTTACGATACTTTAAAGACGTGGTAAATACTTGGGTAAATACCCGAGTTTTTACCCAACAATTGGGTATAAACTCATTAATTACCGAACCACTTGACATAGGCGGCCAAAATTTTGCACACTTGTTTTTAATGTCAAAGCATATATAGAAATCAAAAAATGGGGTCCCTGGGTCCAAGTTTTGATATAGCCCCCCTATAACCGTATCTCCCGATTTAAGGTATTTTTTGTCTATTAGACACATTTTCCAACCAAATTGGCTGTAACTTGGCACAGTATGTTATTTTTGGGTACCAAATGTCCATGCAAAAATTTATGTATGTAGGTCCACGTTTACTGGTAGCCCCCACACAAAGGTACCCCTATTTTGAGTATTTACCCAAAAATTGGGTATAAACTCATTAACTGCCGAACCACTTGACATAGCCGGTCAAAATTTGGCTCAGATGGTTTTTATGTTAATACAAATACTGGTATGAAAAATGGGGTCCCTGGGTCCAAGTTTTCATATAGCCCTCATATGACAGTATCTCCTGATTTAAGGTAATTTTTGTATATTAGACAGATTTTGCGATCAAATTGGTTATAATTTGGTATAATGAGATATATTTTTGCACAACACATGCGAAATGTCGTTTTTGACAGAATGGTATTATTTCCTGTATGAGGTCTTCAAAACACACGTCAATTGGTTCGGCTGTTAAAGAGTTTATAAATATATATAAATACCCAAAATCAGGAACGGTGTATAGGACAGAAAACGTGGATCAGCGTAGACAATTTTGCATGGATGGTTGGTACTCATAGAGAACTCTCTGTGCCAAATTCCAGCCAGGAAATTACCCAAAATCGGGAGATACGGTTATATGGGGGCTATATCAAAACTTGGACCCAGGACCCCATTTAGGATTTCTATATTTGCTTTGACATTATAAACATGTATGCAAAATTTTGGCCGCCTATGTCAAGTAGTTCCACAGTTAATGAGTTTATACCCAATTTTTGGGTAAATACTCAAAATAGGGGTACCTTTGTATGGGGGCTACCAGTAAACATGGACCTACATACATAAATTTTTGCATGAACATTTGGTACTCAAAAATAACACTCTATGCCAAATTACAGCCAATTTGGTTGGAAAATGTGTCTAATAGGCAAAAAATACCTTAAATGGGGAGATACGGTTATATGGGGGCTACATCAAAACTTGGACCCAGGGACCCCATTTTTGGATTCCTATGTTTTCTTTAACATTAAAAACATGTATGCAAAATTTTGGCCGCCTATGTCAAGTGGTTCGGCAGTTAAAGAGTTTATACCCAATTTTTGGGTAAATACTCGGGTATTTACCCAAGTATTTACCTACGTCTTTAAAGTATCGTAAAACTATACATTCTGAATCGATTTGATAACAGAAACCCGGAAATAGGGTGTAAGATGTGGTATTAACTATTCAATATAGTAAATACCCAAATAAATACCCACAAATGGGTATTTACCCAATTTACCGGGTATTTACCCACTGCCCATCTCTACACATTACCCGCCAAGTTATTTTTATTCGCAGTTTAGAGTTTTTTTAAATATATTGCAATAACATTTGGATAAACAATTATAAATATTATTTGACCTGGAATATATTTAGCCAACAAATCTACTATGTTGTGAAAACAATTTGTTTTTATTTTTTACCATTGTTACGCCCACAATATCAAAAAAAGAAAATGGTGGTCCACATTACACGAAGTTACTCTATTCCTTGGAAGACATCCAAAAAACCTCTTTAATCTCTCCTATCCATTGAAGACATATTCTAGACGTTGAAGGGCTCTTTCATCCATATCCATAAAATAACTCATACAACCATTAAAAAAAATGTTATCTAGAATAGACCTATTGCATCTACAAAATACATCTTCAATATTGATTCCAAAGAAGACCTATGATGACAAATGTCCGAACCTTGAAACGGCTGAATTTGATTTGAATCGATATAAATACAGCAACTCAAGTAAGGGCCTTTGTGAGGCACATTGCCCAATATGTCTGATGAAACCTTCCAAGATCGTCAATAAATTGGAAACCTTTTACATATTTTCTTTAGATGTAAGACTTTCTACAGCACTTCAAGGATGGAAAATGCAGTACAAAAGTACTTTGTTCAGGATAATTTTACTCCAAAAAATACCGTAGTACCCCCGCGAACATTTCAGTATCATCCCAATAATTTATTAACCCACGATGATTATGCAAATATGCATAGAATAACTTCCTCAGTCGATGTCGGTGTCGGTCCGTCCGTTTGTCTGTCTGTCCACGTTAAATTGTAAACCAAGTACAGATCGCATTTATGATCCGAATTGAATGGAATATAACACAGGTCACTTATTTTGCCTATGAACGAACCCCATTAAAATTGAAGAGAATCGGTTCAAATTTAGACTTATTTCCCGATTTTATGTAAATCGTGCACAAAAGGCCTAACTTTTATCCAGTTGGGACGAATGTTTATATAGTATGCAAAAATCAGGCTAGAACGACGTGTTGAAATCGGTTAAAATTTAGATATATAGCTACCATCTGATTTTCGGTAAACGGTGCATTAAACTCCGATTAACAAGAAATTGTACACATCATACCGAAGTGAGTATGGACTATAGTCAAGTAAAGTTTTGATATATATATACATCCGATTTCATGCACACTGTGCACCAAATAATCACCGTGTCTCCGATTAAGAATAAACTTTGCACAGTGTTCTATGCTGCAGCATGCCGAATGAGGCATGTTTGCTTTAAATCGGTACAAATTCATATAATTTAGTCCGAGTCATATAAAAATGGTACCCGACAACACCTGAATGACAGATTTTATACTGAATTCCGTACAATTTCATATAAGTGGCCCTTTAAAAAAGCTACTTCTGTTCAATTAAAAACTTATGAACATATCTTGTACATACCCAACGTGGTGAAGGAAGGAAGGGCCAAATTTGCACCGTTTTGTTGTATGATTTGTTGCCATTTTAAAGGTATCTTCATAATGCCTTTCTAGAAGTCCTGCTCTCAATCTGCAAAAAAAATCTTATCAATAAAGTAATTTTACAATTCAAGAAAAATATGATAATCGATTGGTGCCAAGTCCGGACTGTATGGTACATGCATTAAAACTTCCCAACCAAGCTCAATTGCTATCTTCAAATGGTCCAGTTGTTGACAATAGAGATCAGAATTTAGAAATAGAATTTGGACACCATTTGGGATGCTTCACCGCTCTTTGACCTCGATTGTTTTCGAACAGGGTTATCGTATCTGACCCATTTCTCACCTCCAGTCACCTTCCGTTTAAAAAATGGGTCTATCCCATTCCGTTTGGTCAGGCTTCGCAGATGGAAATTCGATCCATCCTATTTTTTCTGTTAATTGGTGTAGCACCCATACGTCGAACATCTTTTTGAATTCAGTTTTGTGTAAAAGGTCTAAAACAGTTTTATGGTCGATTTTTAGCTCTTGGGCGATGCTACGACTGCTAACATACTGGTCAACTTCGATCATTTCTCTGATTTTATCGACATTTTCATAATGGATGTCTTTTCCGCCACCTTAAAATATATACAGGAGGAGTTGTTGACCTATACATTGAGACCAATTATAGTAATGTATCTATTCGGAACTGGGAGTTATACCTAAATACATACAGGCGTCTACGTATTCTGATATTATTTAGTTACAAATTACCACATTAGAGGGCGGTTGGGGTTAAGGTAAGGTTAAGGTAAATATCAGATGATATATAGGGAATGAAATGGATCGAAAATAGATTTTTTCATGTTTTCTAGGCCGTTGAGAGGAGATAATTTTAAATCGAAAATCGCAAATTTTACACGGGGAAGGGGATCTGGTCTATTAAAAATAGCGGTCAATATTTTGGGTGTTAAATGAGTCAAGACTTTTGTGTGTAAAATAATAATAACATTTGAATTTTATGATTTAAATGTTCTCTAGCCGGAAATGTTCTAATCAGTCAAGTACAAAAATTGTCCAGGCTCGGAATATAGATCCGCAGAAAGTTAGACTTCAGACGTAGTTGCGGAGGGTATCATATGATCGGCTCCGTCGCAATATACTGCTTCGCTTACTGGTTTTACTTGCTGTTATATCATTCAGTTTTTATATTCATATATTTGTTTAAATTTTAATATTTCAATTTTTATATTTAATATTGTAATATTTTTTGAAAATCTTACATAATTTTTTCCGTTTTTCCCCTTCTCTTTTTTGGTGACAATTTACCCGCAATTGGATTATTTTTTATTATCCTTTATTTAACTAGATTACATTAAGATAAATTGTATGTTTTTAGCGAAAAAAAAAAATAAATTGACGGATGGTTCGCCGGATATTTGACTAACAAATTAATTAACATTTTTTTATTTGATTAGGATTAGAATATTCCGCCAGAGCACTTTATGGTTAATTTAATAACAAGGCGCTTCATCTATTTCAAATAAAATTCAATTTCATGGCATGACATTAATTTTTTGTGTCTCCTTCATTTCATTACAGATTGAAAAGCTAATCAAGAGAGAAACGGAGAAAAAAAATAATCGGCAGTCGAGGAAACAAATTAATGCCCGAAAGAACAATTGCGAATGAATGAAAGAAAAGATAGATATCAAAGGATATCCAGAAAAAAAGACCTCGAATGTCAACATTAATCTTTATTCCAAGCATTCAGTAATAAATTATGAAACAATCAAAGACCAGCCAGCAACGAAAAAAATGCATAGCTAAGCAAATCGGATAAGAATTTTTTTTACGGATTGGTGGGGGTTAATAAAATACAGAACAGGAACATCAAGAAACACCACATAAATAGCAACACGTATTGTGGTCCTTTTGTTTGCTTGAAAAAATTACACACAAGCACGCACGTCGGGACAGCCAACAATTTCAATACCTACACACACTCATACTCATACATACAACCTACCTCAAAAAATTCAAGCCCTAGCAACCAGTCTCGAAAATCAGAAGAAACGAAGAAACAAAAAAAAACCTTTAAAGGAAATCAAATCTCCAGCTATAGGAACAATCATACACTCATATATAACCCTAAACCTAAAGTTGTCCTCGCAGCAACAACAACACACATCATTCAATCAAACCAGCAACACTACCACCAACACATGACCTGACCAGCCAAGGAACCAGCAACCAAAAGCAGCAGCAGCAATACGAAATAGTCAAACAGTCCAGTCCTGTCCAGCCAAACATCTGTATAGCAATTTTTTTTTTGGTTCAGATTGTTGTTGGTTTTGTTGTTGTTGTTTTATTAATGTACGACGTTATGACTTGAAGGCCAGACACATTATTCAACTATCATCACCAACAAGCCGCAACATCAGAGAGCAGCAGTGAACCAAACTAACCGACCAACCAACCAGCCAGCCAACCAACCAAGCCGGTCATTTACCAGGAAAACAACGACAGCAGCAACAACAAAAAATCAACCAGAAAAGCCAAAAACTTAACATATCTCCTCTACAATCATTTCATTTCCATATAACTTCGAGCAGCAACAACAACAAGAACACACAAAAATTGAACTTTCCTTTTGGAGCACCACCACACACAGCAACACCACGGGGCTACCGGCTCAAACAACACTTCCTTCTCTCTTTCGCTCGCTAGCTCGCCCCATCCATCTATTCATTGCCCAAAAAACTTGTTATCATCGACGTCATTGGATATTTGCCAAAAAGGAGACAACCAAACCACCACCACCATCATTTTCCATAAAAGGAAACCAAAAAACAACGACACACCAAAAAGCATTAAAACAAGTTTCACTGGTAAAAAGCAACAACAACAACGAAAATATATCCCAGCATCATCTTTGTCCAAACTTTGGTCATTAACAAACCATTGCAGCAGAGTTGTCCTGTTGGTACTTTTTTTTGTTTTTTGTTTGCGGTCACGACCGGCAACGACTTTTAACACTTTACACGAACGTGTTACGAACGACCCCTTCCCTAGTATTAGTTAAATCGCAACACACAAAATATGTCTACCTCAATATTAGCCGCCTTATCATCATCTAATGGCAACAATGGTGGAAATACCACCACCACAAACAATGCCGATAATCCTCATTCGTCCTCATCGGCGGCGGCATCGCTTGGCAGTAGTAATCGTGAATTTGTTGAAGGTTGGACATTGGCCCAGACATTGGGTGAAGGTGCCTATGGAGAGTAAGTAAAAAAAATCGTAAATATTATTTGATAAGAATGTGAATTATATAGAAGAGCTTTCATAGATCTTCTATAAGTAGGAGATTCAATGGATGGAAGATATCTCCCAATTGTCTATATATAGTACAGTTGATATCGGATATAAGAACATCTCATATAAGAAAGATTATCAAAAGCACCGAGCCTTTTTAAAGAAATCCATTATTTTATATGAAATATAGGACTTTTTTAACATGCTTCGGAATGTCCGATGTGGGTCAAATATGCACCATTTTGTTGTATTATTTGTTGCCATTTTAAAGGTAACTTCATAATCCCTCTCTTATAGAAGTCCTGCTCTCTACGATATTTGCAAAAAAAAAAACTCTAGTAGTTGTTTTTCACAGTCCTCCCTAGATACCATTTTTTATCATAAAATTGCAATGCAAGAAAAAGATGACAATCGCTTGCTGCCACGTTCTGACTGTATGGCGTATGCATTAAAAGTTCTCAACCAAGCCCCCGTGTCACTGTAGATGTGTGAGTGGCCTAGCGTTGTCCTGGTGGAACACGACACCTCGATGAATGGCCAATTATGGTCGTTTCTGGTCAATTGCTATCTTCAAACGGTTCAGTTGTTGTCTATAGAGATCAGAATTTAGCGTTTGGTCATATGAAAGCAATTCATAATAAGTAATCCTCTTTCAGTCCCACTAAATGCATAGCAGAACCTTCCTGACCGTTAGCCCTGGTTTGGCCACCGTTTGAGGTGCTTCACCCGCTCTTTGACCTCGATCGTTTTCGCACAGGGTTATCGAATGTGATCCATTTCTCATCTCCAGTCATCATCCGTTTAAGAAATGGGTCTATCTCATTCCGTTTGGCCAAGAATTCTTAGATGGAAATTTGATCCATTATATTTTTACTGTTAATTGGTGTGGAACCCAAACAACGAACTTCTTTTTGAATCCAGCTTTGTGTAAATGGTTTAAAACTGTTTTATGGTCGACTTTCGGTCAACATCGATCATTTCCCCAATTTTTTCGACATTTTCGATGTTCGGCCTAATGGATTTCTTTTTCCCCAACCTAATATATAGATAGACGTATTAAAGAAAGCTTTTAAAGGTCTAGGTCAAAGGTCAATTTAGGGTGCAACAGAAATCTAACTATATATTAAATTTAGTAATATTTATTGGCCTTTGTATTCTTGTAATACTTAGGTTCACCTAAGCCCAAATTTAGTACCAGTTAGTCTACATCAATATAAATGTCCATAACTATATACCTTAACAATCATAATTACGAATTTCCAAAACCTCCCATATACCCCAATCTTAATTCCGATTATTAGGATTCCAGCTCTATCAGTTCATCTAAATCCAAATTGTATCAAATTTAGTACCATTTAGTACATAAAAGTACAAATTTAGTAGATATTTCCAAAACTTCCTGCATACCCCAATCCAACACCCCAACAGTGATACTTACTCCAAATTTTAGGATTCTATTCTATTCTTCGGCTCACTTTACTTTCAAATAGTACCAATTTTAGTACACGTATTTCAAATTTTCAAAACTACACACATACCATTGGATACTACACACTCCAAAAGTAATCTTAATTACAAATGTTGGTTCACCTAAATCCAAATTGTATCAAATTTATTACATTTAGTACCCATAAGTAGAAATTTCCAAAACTGTACCCATACCCCAATCCTACCCTTGAACAGTAATTTTAATTCCAAATTTCAGGATTCCAGCTCGATCGGATTACATAAATCAAAATTGTATCAAATTTAGTACCATTTAGTGCACATAAGTATACATTTCCATTACCACCACATAATACAATCCGATATAAATCTTATTTCCCAATTTCAGGATTCCAGACCTAACGGTTTACCTTAAATCCAAATTGTACCAAATTTAGTACAATTTAGTACACATAAGTACGAATTTCCAAAATGATTTACATACCTCAATTCCACACTCCAACAGTAATATTAATTTCAAATATTTAATATTTCAGCTCTATCGGTTCACTCTAAATCCAAATTGTATCAAATTTAGTACTTTTTGTACACATATGTACAAATTTCCAAAACTACCTACACTCCCAATCCTACACCCTAACAAGAATCCTAACTCTAAATTTCAAGATTCTATTTCTATGGGTTCTCTCAATATACAAATTATACCAAATTTAGTAACAATTATTATTCAATTCTTCACTCCAACAAATTTTTACTATTCCAGCCCTAAATCTAAACTGTATCGAATTTGGTACCCATAAGTATAAATTTCCAAAACTACATCCATATCCCCAATCCCGCACTCCACCAACAATTTTATTTCCAAATTTTATTCTTCCAATACAATATAGAGGATATGATAGAGATCTATACCTAAATCGTAATTGTACCAAATTTAGTACCATTTAGTAAACATTTGTAGGAATTTCGATAACTTCCCCAACAGTGATCCTAACTCCGAATTTCAGCATTCCAGATCTATTTGGTTTACCTAAAATTCAAATTGTAACAAAATTAGTACACATTTCCAAAACTACCAAAAGACCTCAATTACACAATGCAGTTTCTAAATTTCACTGTTCCAACTCTATCGGTTCATCCAATTCCAAACTGTATCAAATATAGTACAATTTAGTACTTTTCGTACTTATAAGTACAAATATCCAAAACTACCTACATATCCCAATCCTATACTCCGACGGTAATATTAATTTCAAATTTCAGGGTTTAAGCTCCATCCGTTTCTCCAAATTCAAATTGTACGAAACTACTTTTCGTATACATAAAAAAACACATCCAAAACCACTTCCTAATTTTCAACCAAATTTTTTTAGCTCTACGAAATTGTAACAAATTTAGTGCATTTTAGTACTTTTCGAATACAGTTCAAATTTCAAAAACCCTTTGGTACATCTATCCCACACTTCATCAATGGCCCTCAATTCAAATTTCAGAGTTCTAGCTGCACCGGTTCGCCAAATACAAATGGTACCACATTTGGTACTTTTCGTGCCGTTCTAGTACGAATTTCGAAAAAATCAGCCTTATCTGACGCCTTTAGACTAAGAGTGACCCTCACCTAAAATTTCAAAATTCTAACTTGACGAAATTCGTACCAAAAGGTACTAAAAACTGTTTTACGCCAGAACAGTTCGAAGTAGAATTCTGAAATTGGGCTTTTATTTTTCAGAAAGAGTGTTCCTTATCTCCCGAATGTAAGGATGTAGCGAAGTCAAATTTTGTCCATATCCTATTTAGGATAATTGTATTAAATCTGCGTACGGAAAATTGTTCTATGATTACGGAAACAATTCGGGGCTCAAAGGGTTAAATTCCTGACCTAAACTCCTTTGAGCATCTCTGAAGAATCATAAACAATAGTACAG